GGGCAGACCATTAGCTTTCATGAGCAAATCACTATCAGAAAAGGCACAGAAGAAATCGGTTTATGAGAGAGAATTAATGGCAATTGTTGTGGTTGTACAGAAGTGGAGACATTATTTGATAGGTAGGAGATTCATTATTAAAACTGACTAGAGAAGCCTCAAATTTCTCATTGAGCAGAGACTATTTGGGGAGGAGCATCACAAGTGGACCACCAAGTTATTAGGATTTGATTTTGAGATTTAATATAAACCTGGCTATGAGAACAAAGCTGCAAATGGACTCTCAAGGCAGATGATGTATGCTGCCATTTCAAGGGTAGAAATGGAGGAATGGAAGAAATGGGAAGAAGAAATCATGGAAGATGTTGAACTGCAAGCTTTGATGCAGAAATTAATCACTAATCCTGACCAACATGAGGGATATGAGTTGAAAGAGGTGAAATTATTCTTTAAAAATAAACTGGTATTGCTTAAGAATTCTAGCTTAATCATCCAAGAATTTCATGCTACGGCTATGGGAGGATATGCTGGAGTGTTTAGAACTTACAAGAGGGTGCCAGCTGTGTTTTTTTGGAAGGGGATGATGAAGGATGTCACTAAGTTTGTGACCGAATACCATGTTTGCCATACCAATAAATATCAAACATTGGCTCCAGTTGGGTTGCTACAACCCTTGCCAATTCCTACTTAAATTTGGAGTGACCTTTCTATGGATTTCATTTGTGGACTGCCAAGAGCTTTGGGCAAAGATACAGTGCTGGTGGTAGTAGACAAATTATCTAAATATGCCCATTTCTTAACTCTATCACATCCTTTCTCAGCTCAGGAGGTAGCTAAAATATTCATTCAAAAAGTGGTCCGACTACATGGGTTTCCCGAGTCTATTGTAACGGATAGAGACATTATTTTTGAGTCAATTTTGGTCTGAATTGTTTAAGTCGGCAGGCACTAGATTGAAGTATACTTCAGCCTATCACCCTCAATCGGATGGGCAAACGGAGGTGGTTAATAGATGTTTGGAGGATTACTTAAGATGTTTTGTTGGGGATAAACCCAAACAATGGCCCAGTTGGTTACCTTGGGCAGAATTTTGCTTTAACACGCATTATAATCAGTCTTCAGATATGACACTATTCAAAGCAGTATATGGGAGAGATCCCCCATCCATTTTTAAAGCTCAAACTTTTCCTTCAAAAGTGGAGGCAGTGAATTTATTGCCAGAAGAGCGGGATGGAGTTTTGGAGGAGTTAAGAGCTAACATTTGTAAGGCACAATCCAGGATGAAACAACAAGTTGACAAGAAAAGAAGAGATGTTAATTTTGAGGTGGCAAACTGGGTTTATTTGAAGGCACAACCATATAGACTCAAGTCTTTGGCGAAAAGGAGGAATGAGAAATTCGCTCCTAGATTCTATGGTCCTTTCCAAGTGGTGGATAAGGTCGGTACAGTGGCTTATAAGTTGCAGTTACCAGAGAGCAGTAGAATTCATCCGGTATTTCATGTTAGCAAGTTAAAGAAGGCCATTCCACCTGAAACGCAAGTGCAATCCCTTCCGATGGAGCTTTTTGTTGAATGGGAATTGTAGCCACAACCAACAGAAATTTTATCCTACAGGTATAGCAAAGCAGCGGAACTAGAGGTTCTTGTCCGATGGCACAACCAACCAGACTTTGAGAACTCGTGGGAGACAGCTGCGAAGATGAATACGACATTTCCACAATTCCACCTTGAGGACAAGGTGATTGCGCTAGGGGGGAGTATTGATAGAGGACGATAGTTAAGAGGGTCTATGTTGAGGAAAAAAGGGGGACAGTTAGTTATTATGTTATCTAACTGATAGCTGTTCTGGGGAGGCAGTTAAATTGTATAAATATGAGAGAATCATAGAAGTAGGTAGGAAAATAGTGAAATAATTCTAGAGAGATAGGCACTCTCGAATTTCCCTTGTATCACTGTATTCTTTCCTTCTAGTTTGTATTGACCAGCAAGGGTTCAAGAACAATTTGACAACAATCTTTCGTTTCTTTCAAATCTTTCTTAATACCCAGTTGAGATCTATCAAAGTCACACACCAGCATGGGAGAGGGAATTTGGGGAAATAGAAGCGTACGCATTAAGTTTCGACATTCTATCTTTCTAACTTCCTAATTTTTTAATTTTTTTTTAATTTTTAAAATAAAAATATTAATTGTAGAAGCCATGTCCCTTTTTGGCTTGAGTTGTGTTGCAGCCGTGTCATGAAGTGTCGGAGCCATAAAAATAATTTTTAATCCGACACTGTTCTGCTGTGTCCACCACATGTTGTACAGGTGTTGGACACGCGAACACGCGAGTACTGACTAGTGGTCGTGCTTCATACACGTCTGCCTCCATCATCAACCGCATCTAACAATCTTTCTTGTGCTATGTGACAACCACCACTTATCGAGTATTGAAGTAATCTGAGAGAGGTCTGAACTGAAATCTTTATTGAAATTATAAAATGTACAAAATTTATGATCTTTTGTTACAACTCCTATATATAATGAATAAGTTCTTTTAGGAGAGATGTTAGTAATAACTGTCTTGCAAGTTATAACACTACAAGTTTGGAAAGAAAAAATGAGAACATATATGATATAGTTATTGAGTAGTTTATTCTCTTACCCCCACCCCTCCTATATGCCCAATGTGGGTGAGAAACCAAGGTGAACTCAAACATCTTGAGCTTGTTTCTCAAAAACGAAAAACCAAGTAGGAGCTAGAGGCTTAGTGACAAAAGGTCAGCCCACTGAACAAAGCCAGGAATGTGCTGAACAAGTTTCTCGGCCAACACCTTTTCTTTGACACAGAATAGATCAAGTTCATGTGACGTGTTTGGTCCTAGTGTGAAGAATAGGATTGGGAGGAAGGTTGACTGCACTAAGATTGTCACAATAGACTAAGGGGGTGTGATGAGGCACAGCTAATTTATTGAATATGGTCTAAATCCAAAGAAGGTTGGCCTTGGCTATGGAAACACTGTTGTATTGAGTCTTTGTGCTTGTTCTGGCTACCAAGAAACCAAATTAGGTCCCAAGTAAATAGTGGCCTCAAATGTAGATATTATGTCATCAGGGTCAGCTGCCCAATCAGAACCACAGAAGGCTCGAATGGACAGAGGTTATGAGGAGCTGCTGGGTATAGCTGAAGACCACACTAAAGAGTAGATATAAAGTGCAGAGCCCCCACCCCAGATCTGTAGATAGATGGGTCATGCAGTAACTCAGCTCCCTGTTTTGATAGCTTGCAACCACAAACCATAGGAGACGATAGGGACAAACTTTTGTAAGGTAGTCTTGATTCTCTCAAACCAAACACCATGAGCTTGTTTGAGTCCATAAATTGCTTTGTGAAGTCTTCACAACAGAGAATTATAAGTAGCAGTTGAGTCATGTTGGCCTCCTCTTCAAGGAGGGATTATTTGTATTCTAAAATCTATCAAGGGAGCTCCAGGATAAGGTCTCCTATATGAAGGCAAAGGTCATACTTGTATTGTGGGATATTTTGATGCAGATTGGGTGGGCTTTCCCACTGACGAGAAATTTACTTATGGTATTGTGTTTTTAGTGGTGATAACTTGATCTCATGGAAGAGCAAGAAACATAATGTTGTGGTAAGATCAAGTGCAAATGTAGAGTATAGATATAGAGCTACTGCTTCATCCACTTGTGAACTTATTTGGCTTAAACAATTGCTTAAAGAATCGAGGTTTGAAGATATCTCATAGGTGACCTTTGTTTATGTCTATGATAATCAGGTAACCTAGCATATTGCTTCAATTCCCTCAAATCCAGTATGTCATGACACATCGAGGTAGATTGTCATTTCATTTTAGGTCAGTTATTTATATTATTAATTAGTGGAATGGGTAAGCAACAGATTAGGCCTGTTAAGGGTAGGTTTATGTTAGCATAGCAGTAGCTGCCATAAATAGGAAGAGAAGTTGAGAAGAAGAATCAATCATTTTAATGAAATAGAATTGAGACCAGGGAGGGGCCTTGGTCTCTCGAATGTCCAGGAAATTCTTTGTAGAGATACACCCTATCAAAAAGAAATTCTGTTTTTCTTCCATTTCTAATCCAGTTTCTTTCAACTGGTATTCTGTTTTTTTCTTTCATTTCTAATTCTGTTTATATCAAAAAGATCTTATTTGGAGACATTACAAATACCTTTGTAAATTTTAATAATGAATCAACAGATGTCTTTACCAAGTAATTGAGAGGTCCTCGGATTGATTGTATATGTAATAGGTTGGATGCATATGATTTATATGCCCTTGCTTGAAGGGGAATCTAGTTAGCAAGGATATTTGGGGATTGCCTTTATGTGGTTATGGCAATTAGGCATATTTTGTAAATTCTCGTAATTATGATTCCTTCTATAGATAACATGTATCTTTCGGTGTGTAATTCACGCACGCACGCACACACTTGTCTCTCTTTTGTTCTCTTGCTGTTTTTTCTTTCTCAGCAATTATTGAATTAAAGTGTGAATTTTAACAAATCAATTGTAGTCAAGAAACATATTCAAGTTGGTCATGCATGCCAAAAATTGCTATCAAGAACTTGAAAATGAAGTGGTTAGTAACATGATAAAATAATTTTTATTATGAAGCACTAAAACATAATAAAATAATTTTTAATTATAATATGTTTTTGTATATGGTCTGCACTCTGCATACAAGCATGGTCTCTCTACATGTTAACTCCACTGTGAAATATTTTTATAAAGTTAATTGAACATGAATTTTATTCAAATTTCATGACAATGAACTTAAATTTTGTTTCTCTAGTGTCTCTGGTCTAGCCAAATGCATGTTTGCTTTTGCACCTAGCCTTTGCCTTGTTGAATGCTCGGAGCATCTTGTTGAGGACCTGAAAAGGGCTTCTAGCCTACCCCGTTGCTCTTTTTCTCCTTTCAGTTTAGTATGTATCGAACATATTCTTATAAAAGTACACATTCTGATTCCTATTTACAGGTCCATGACCCTTGCTGAGAAACAACAGCTACACAGATTGATTCAGAAGCTACCAGCAAGAAATCTAGACCGTGTGGTGGAGTTAATTTGTCGAAATAGGCCAGTAGAAGAACAAAGTTGCGACAAAATATTTGTTGATTTGGAAAAAGAGGTAGTACTATAATTGTGTGTATACATACATATTAGCATTATTATGTCTGCAGTTTAATTGGTTTTATGGTTACAAACTTGATTAGCATTAGAAGATGCTTACAATGTGGATTTTCTACAGGACAATGCTACACTCTGGAGACTGTATTACTATGTTGAAGCGGTTGAGAAAGCCAAAAGCCTTTCTTGTAGTCAAGAGGCCTAGTTTTCCGAATGCTTTTGAAAGCCTCTGAGCCTTAATGATAGTTCATTAAAATTCAAATAGATTTTTCTCATCTAACTTACTCTAGAATCTCTAGATTTCCAAAATGCTTACCTCTTGCGACATTAGGATACTTTTGGCCATCTACTGGGACGTAAATGCCCAATACCTAAAGTGTATAGCATTTAGTGTTCATTTTTTTAAGTCACCAAATATGTATCGTCCCAGATTGTTGTAGGATATATGTTTCAAGTCAGAAATGCATCTCGAATTGATAGCAAAACGTGATGTTTAGCCGGAGATATGTCGATATCAAGGTTAATTACTAATTTTAAATTAAAGCGAGTTTGATTAAGAAATCATTTTAAAACTTATACGCAAGAAAAAGATTTTTTTTTTATATCTATTTTGTGCGTGAAAGGTAAGCATGTTATTTTTATTTATTTATTTACTTTTTTCCAATCACGGGTATTTTTGTATCCACTAGGCCAAAGACTAAGTCTGCTCACAATATTTTGTTGTTGGTTTTGCAACTATCTATTAGACCCATGGCTCCGGGACTGGCCCATGCCTCCTCTCATACAAAAGTTTCATTAAAATGAAGGAACTTAAAAGTCTCTAACTCACAAGCCTCTAAAAAGGGGTTAAGGGCCAAATAGAGCTTGACCTCCTACTTGCCACATTAAAAAAAGTATTGGTCTACATACTTGATGTAAAATATGGAACATGTCAATTATAATGTTAATTTTTTTTTAATGAGAAATAACAAGAGAAGCTTGTTATGGGTCATGGAACAATGTTGGTTCTTGTTAGGGTGGCCAAGTGGATTTTAGTACTACATTTTAGAAAGGTAAACTTAGGGTTAGTGCTCATTTACCACTTACATTCTATGGACTATTTCATTTCGTGTTCTTGGGCTCACTACTACATGGAATAAGATTATCTTAACTAAATATTGATTCTTTTAAACAGTAATGTTGGTTAAAATTTTATTTCTAATTAGTACATGGGATAAGTTAGTTTATATAATGAATTATGATAATTTTTTACTAGCTAAACTTATATTTTTTAACATAAAAAATTGGCCCATGGACCGACCCTTACCCAAAGGACTTTGTGGAATTTTTTATCCTTTAGACTTTTATGTCCTAACCCATGTGCCCTAAGACTTTGTAGGATAGGTTAACCCATTTGTCAAATCAACTAACAAGTATTTGCATACAACATAGATGGAACATGAATTTTCTGCCATTTAGATTAAATTTCACATGGGAAGGTATGATACTTAACAATTACACCAACCAATCTATTGGGGTTTTTTACCATAGTGGGGTCCTTTACAAACTTTTTTACGTAAATGGGGCTCTTTTGAAAATATTTATGCCTTTGGGGATGTTTACAACAGTGTCGCTATGAGCCATAGCGACATCAGTGACACGTGGCATTTTTTAAACTCCATGAAAGCCATGAAAGCCATATTGATAGTGTCGCTACAGCCTATAGCGCCACAAAACAGCTTCACTAAACTCGCTATAGCCTACAACGCCACATATTTAATATAAAAAAACTGTTTTAAAAAAATATAAGTAAATAAATAAAGAAAATGTGTGTAAAATTAATTAAGTTAATAATTTAAAAAGAATAAATATATATAAAATAGAAAACAATTTATTTAATAATTTAAAAAACAAAAAAGGTGAAACATAGTGGCGCTATGGCCTATAGCGACACCATAGCGCCACTTATTTTAAAAATTAAAAAACGTAAATAGAAAAATAAATATGTATAAAATAAAGAAAAAACAGAAATAGGTATATATATAAATATATATTTTTATGATATTCATAAATAAATTAAAATGTGATAAAAAAAAACAATTTATTTAATAATTTTTTTATAAAAAAAAACTTCAAATATAGTGGCGCTATGTCGCTATAGGCCATAACGCCACTTATTTTAAAAATTAAAAAACATAAATAGAAAAATAAATGTATAAAAAAAAAATAGAAATAGGTAAATATATAAATATATATTTTTATGATATTCGTAAATAAATTAAAATGTGATAAAAAACAATTTATTTAATAATTTAAAAAAAAAACTTCAAATATAGTGGCGCTATGGCCTATCACTTATTTTAAAAATTAAAAAACGTAAATATAAAAATAAATATGTATAAAATAAAGAAAAAACAGAAATAGGTAAATATATAAATATATATTTTTATGATATTCGTAAATAAATTAAAATGTGATAAAAAACAATTTATTTAATAATTTTTTAAAAAAAAAACTTCAAATATGGTATGGCCTATAGCGACACAGTGTCGCTATAGGCCATAGCGACACAGGTGGTGGTTGAAAAATTAAGTACAGTGGCCACGTGTCAGATTACCGCAGATTCAACCACTAGTAATTTGACACGTGGACTTCGAACAATAAATTTTTTTTTCCCTATATAAGGGTTTTTACCCTCAGATGGTCTCCTCCTCGTTTGTTTTCACCGTTGCCTCCTTGAATCAAGGTAAGTTTTTTTATCAAATGCATTAAATGAGAAGATTTTCATATCCATGAACGAGCCCCCATCTGCAACGACATGAAGCTACGCTCCAACGGGAAAATTTGAATTCAAACAACGGACAGATTTACGAAATGACTATAAGTATCAAGGCAAAGAAGAAGAAGTAGTAGAACTAAGAAGTAGAGAAAACGTGCAATAAGAAAAAGAAAGCAAAAGGGTATAACCTACAGTTCTTCTCAAAGCATATACTGTATATCTGTGTAAAAACTAAGATAGCTTATCTTAGTGAGTGTTGCTGATATAGTCTATCCTCTTTACGTGAGTAAACAAATACTTAGACGCTTATTCCTGTAAAACTAGGGTTTTGCACCATAGTGAGTGTAGAAACTATCCTATCCTCTCTGTGAGAGTTGCAAACACACTTAACACCTTCATTTGCTGTAAAGGATAAAAAGTCTAGTAGAAAAAATACTTGTGAAACAGAAGTGTTTTGAGAATACTATCACTGGTGAGTGAAGCTAGCGGGCCAGAAGTGGTCAAGAATACTTGGAGAACCAGAAGTGGTTAAAGAATACTAGCGTCGACAAGTGATGTTGACGAGCCAGAAGTGGTTGAGAATACTTGTAATCCTTTGTGATTAGTGGAACCCTTCAGTTGAAGGAGATTGGACATAACTCAAATTGAGTGAGCTAGTATAGAAATCTGTGCATATCTATTTCTATTTTTCAAACACTACTTGTCTAAAAACTTCGCCTTTCATTTACCTTCATTTCAACAAACTGTTAGACGAAAACATACTTGTCTACCATTTTGGAGAAACATTTTTTTTGGATGATAAAACCTTTTCAGGCAGAACACTAATTTACTCAACTTGTTTCTTGAAGTAGACAATCAGTTCTATCAGATGCAAAAAGGTTTTTAGTCAGACTAGTCTGCACAAGTTTTCAACAGAGCTTGAATATTCTTTTTATTAAAAGTTAAAGGAGCATCTTTACAAAACGATTTAAGAAAAAAATCTTCTTTGAAAAAACATACACATATTTAACCCCCCTTTCTGTGTGTATTTCCGCTAACTTCATAATCATAAAAAGGAATAGGGGTTTGCAAACAACAATTTTATTGGTCACCTATCAGTTCCATTCCTAGGCTATCTCGCCGTTCTAATTTTAGAACGGGCCATCCTAGGACTTTTAAAAGGCCTAAAATATGTAGTTTGGAACGGGCCATTCCAATTTCAGCACGGGCCGTTCCAATTTCAGAACGGGCCGTTCTAGTTACAAATTTAACCCACAACGGCCATATCCAGAACGGGCCATTCCGATTTTGGAACGGGCCGTTCTGGACCCTTTCTAAAGTCTATAAATAGACAACTTGGGCTCATTTCTCAAGACTTAAAAATTTCGTCCAGATTCCTTAGAGCACGAAATTTCTCTCTTTTTCTCTCTCTCCCTCTCTTTTTGTATTTCTTGAGATTTTTGTGAGGCCTTGTAGTGTGAAAGGTTGCCAAAAAGCACCTAAAATCTTCCTGTTTTGAAGATTCAATAGAGTTCATTCAAAAGGTATTTCATTAATCTCTTTCTCTCTTTTTTATTTATTTATTTCTTATCTGTAATTAATATTATTATAATAAAAATAATCATGTAGACATTTTAGGGTTAATTATATAAATTGAATTTTAAGCATGTAAATAATTATTAATAAAAGGGGATTTAATGTTTATATTATTATCATTTATAATTTTAACTTCATCATAGGGTATCGATTGAGGGCGTTGTAGGGGTGCTTAATACCTTCCTTACATGTAACCAAGCCCCGAACCTAATTCTGGTTATCAAGGCCATTATTGGATTCTTTTTTTAAAAAAAATACTTTTTCTTTTTCCAATGTTTTGAGTAAAATATTAGTGGCGACTCCATGAACCTATTTTCAAAAATCATTAATTAAGGATTAGTTTGGTGTCCGGGCATTCCTTAATTGATGAGATTTTCAAAAGGATGTCTAAACCATAGGTCGCAAGATCGGAAATTTTCGGGTTGCGACAGATGGCGACTCCATTGAGGACGTTTCATGTTTGGAATAGAGAAGATGATAGGAGATTATTAGCACGGCGTGCTGCACCAACACGCAATGGAATTGACGGAATTCCACATCAAATAGTTTCGTTATTAGACCAAGCTGGATTTGGATGGATTGCTCGGTTGAGTTATATCAAAATTAGTCCTGGTTTATTAACTACTTTGCCAAACAACGGACAGATTTACGAAATGACTATAAGTATCAAGGCAAAGAAGAAGAAGTAGTAGAACTAAGAAGTAGAGAAAACGTGCAATAAGAAAAAGAAAGCAAAAGGGTATAACCTACAGTTCTTCTCAAAGCATATACTGTATATCTGTGTAAAAACTAAGATAGCTTATCTTAGTGAGTGTTGCTGATATAGTCTATCCTCTTTACGTGAGTAAACAAATACTTAGACGCTTATTCCTGTAAAACTAGGGTTTTGCACCATAGTGAGTGTAGAAACTATCCTATCCTCTCTGTGAGAGTTGCAAACACACTTAACACCTTCATTTGCTGTAAAGGATAAAAAGTCTAGTAGAAAAAATACTTGTGAAACAGAAGTGTTTTGAGAATACTATCACTGGTGAGTGAAGCTAGCGGGCCAGAAGTGGTCAAGAATACTTGGAGAACCAGAAGTGGTTAAAGAATACTAGCGTCGACAAGTGATGTTGACGAGCCAGAAGTGGTTGAGAATACTTGTAATCCTTTGTGATTAGTGGAACCCTTCAGTTGAAGGAGATTGGACATAACTCAAATTGAGTGA